ACACACACACACACACACACACACACACACACACACGCACACACACACACACAAGCAGTACGGTAGTTTCTGAAAGTTCCAAATAATAAAACCGAAAACTCTCGACTTCTTACAGATTTCTTTATTTGAGAATCCAAATATGTTTAAAGTTATTTTATGATGCTTCAGACAGAGTTTATGAAAATAAAACTGACTACAATAAGGACATCATGAACTAGTTTGCGTGATTAGTATACATTTATCAMACACAATTGCAAAGAGACAAAATTATTTCTTCTCATTTCCATTTGTCTTTGCTTCATATAAAAGACAACATATAACTGGGACCAGTTCAGTGTACAGATGCACACATCTGAACGCAGCACATAGTTCAGCTGAGAGGAGCAGACAGCAGTGGTCCATAATGTTACTGTGAGCGTTACATAAGCGCATTGCTTCTAAAAATAGAAATGCAGCAATTGTAAACAGGAGCCTAAACTGTTGGCTGGAGGCTTTCAAAGGAACCTGAATGAAATCTCAATCAGAGCGTTGTCTCGAACACAAACGGAGCAGCTGCTGATCATCACCTTCAGAGCCTGCAGTCCCTATGAGCCTGTAGCCCGTGAGTGTGTGTGTGTGTGAATGAGGTGTAGGATGAGTTTCAACTGTTGCGCTGATGAATGAGGAGGAAACACTTCTGATTCATTGTGAAATGTGACAAAAAGCTGTTAATCTTTAAAAATTCTGACATCAGCATTTTAATCATTCTTTGTTTGTTTCTCTTTTATTCAAACAAAAACAAAACATGATACATAATGGTCACATCTAAGTTAGTTTTATACATGTATACTGTATTAAAGAGCCATTCTCTTAAAAATCACATTTTCGATACTGCTTGTACATTTTGCAGAACAATAAGACAAAAGTAACGAAGCATCGCCTTTATTACATTCTGCAACTTTTTTGAAAGAATGCAGTTTTCACTGAGTTTCATGTCTCTTTATTACAGGACTCGTCAAAACATCACACAGATACACAATGTTTCTTCAAAATATCCACCAACACAACTGAAAGTTATTCCAATTGTTCTTTTATTATAAGGTAAACAATGTACAAGAACATCAGCCGAAGCAGAACATTGAATCACTTAAAACAAAGATTTCCACCCATAACTAGAATAAAGCAAGGTAATTTGTCATATAATGCAGAAATGTTTCTTTCAATCTGTTTATTTAGGGTTTACATAAACGCCACACACAATCTGCCAAGTGAAGACAAAAGCTAAAACATTAAAGGAAGACATGAAAAGGAGGAAAAAAATATCCAATTAACTATAAAATGTTTGTATATTTTTGTAGACAAAAGTATAAAGTGTGCTCTTGAATAGAAACCTAAAAAAATAAAATAAAAACTGAAGCGCAAGAAGTTACACAGACCTTTAAATCTTGGATGAACTTTTTCCACAAACGTTCTCAATTTCTTTTCACGGTCGGCTTTTCAGTAAAAATCAACAAATCAGTTCCTTTAGAAAACATTTTTTAAATTAGTTTAGCTTTTAAATTTTATATGACGTGTGTATCTGTTCGCGTGCAGAAGTATTCATGCTCATTGGATGAGATTGCTTCATAAAGGATTGGATCAGTTTGAGGATTCCCTCCTTTCCTCTCCTAATGAACAGAACATGCAGCTCACTGATGCTCGGTGACAAACGCAGGACACGTTTCTGCTGGATTTAAACAAAAAAAATGCAGAAATCCCAGAAACTGTGCGATAAACAACTATAAATTAGTTGTTGCTTTTTTCAGCTAAGGACATTTAGATTCATTAAAAAAACAGCAAATTTAGACTGAAGCTTGAAAAGGAACTGTGTTAATTGTGTGCTCTTGTCTCAAAAATGTGCAGGTTAAAATGTGTGGAAAAAAGATTTAATGTTTACACAACTGTAAGGAAACAGTGGGAAGGCAACGGTAATTTTGAACAATGACAACAATTGTGATAATCTTGTGTTTCCACACCTTGTTCACAATAAAAGCCTCTGACCTAGACCAATGAGACGACAAACGATATGTTCACACGGTCTAAACTGTGATGTTTAACTCAAATTTGTTTCATTTGTTGAAAACTTTCCTTCAAATCACTGCTTGTTTATTGTTTCCCTACACAGCTCAAACCACAGCAGAGCGAGGACGTACACACACAGGTTTTCGGCTGCTCTRTGTCTCCTCTGACTGCTGAGAAAACTGTTTAAATGAAATAAACTGATTTATTAGGTACACAAGGAAAGGACTGGTCTGACACAGTTTTCACTCTTTCACAGATCAGAAATGCCTCAGTTTGAGAGGTGCCGGACCACCTGAGGAGGATGGTGGGGTGGGGTTACTGCCTGCTTCCTGATGTGGACAAAACCAAATGTTTAGAGTCGATCAAAGCAGGTTTAATGTGGGGTTTAGTCATGAACGCCTGTGTCTTATGTCTAAAAATCACACATATATGTTTTTGTCACCAGGGTAAGTCTATTATTGTCTATATATTTTGTCTTTTTTGTGTAAGCATTTCCTAAACAGTATATTTATATATATAATGTGACAACTCAGATGTGCAGAGATCTACGGAAGCGTATTGCTATCACGCAGGGGAAAAAAAATCCGAGCGCTATCACGTTATAACGTGATACGTATCACGTTTTAACAAGATACGTATCACGTTATAACGTGATAGCGCTCGGATTTTTTTTTCTCCTTGCGTGATAGCAATACGCTTCCGTAGAGATCTGAAGTTCACATGAAATAACAGAATTTAAGAAAAGCGCAGGTCGTTGTGTTTCAAGATGGTGATTATTTCTTCACAGCTTACACAAAAATAAAAACAAWTTTTCTCTTTTGATGGAATTATCTTTATGTTTTGAATGTTTTTTTTAAAAAGCAGGTAAGAAARTCTAAAACATGAASCTTCTKGAGAGAGCTYGARCCTAAGTGATTCCRCAGAAGAGGCTGTGTCTTTCAGAAKCATATATCAGAAACACTGTGAGAATAAAAGCCATTATACTTCTCGTCATGGTGTGTCCCAGTCACTGTGTAGAGTCCACCCGCTGACCTTGCTGTGGTTTGGCCTCTGCTGCGTTAGTCTTCAAGTGTTGTGTGCGTTGTATTTGTGTGGAGAACCTGGGAGTTGCACAATGAAAGGAAAAGAAAAGAAAAAGTGAAAACAATTGTGAGAAAGCAGAAACAACCCTATCATTTTATTTAGAATGAAACACTTTTCTATTCTTCAGTTCCTGCGTCAGAGGAGAAAATGATCGGGGGTGAACAGTGACGTGATAAGAAAAATCCAGAAAATTCAACACAAGTTTACGGCTAAGTTGAAATGTAATAAAGTGTTGAGTTTGTGTCAGTTGTGTTTCACGTCCTGATGCATCTCAGTAATCCAGGTA